GGCTCCATCTTGGCGGCGAAAGAGGAGCTGAAATTCAGAGAAAGCAAAACAGAGTAGATAAAAAATTTGAGAACCGCCATGATTATGATTTGGGGGTCTGTATTTGGGCAAAGAATTGAATCGGGTACTTATAAATTAATGTTGTGAAGAAAATTCAATGGTGGGGTGTTGGAAAAATTTGATGGATCGGATCTCTGTACTTCCACTACCAAACCAACGGTGGCAAATGCAGAGTAGAGAAAGAAGATGAGAAAATAACAAAAAGAAAAGTAAGCACAACAAACACAGTACCAGTATTGTTGGTTGACTGACTAATAAAGTTATGTTACAATCATTATTAAGTTTAGGAATCTTTTCACCCAAAAAAAAAAACTTCAATTTTTGGGACTTATTATCATTCCAATGTAGTGAATTTTTGTTTATTTAATATACAACCTTTTTTTTTAGTACAGGAACATAATTAGACAAAAATTGGAGCTTAGTGGATAAGATAGTTTGGTGTTTCATTCCTACACTTTCTTTTTTAATTAAAATAATATAATTATTAGACACTTTGTTTTTTCTTTTTTAACGAAAGAAAAAAATTTACACCACGAAGTTATGAGTTCAAAAATTCTCACTTATTGTACTAAAAAAACCTTTTAAATAATATCTAGACTTCAACAAATACTTTGAAAATTTAAACTTTCTCAGGTGATAATTTTGTTCTTTTAATAAATTTTACTTATTCTTTCATAATTTTTAAAAAAAACTTTTATATGTTTTTAAGAAATAAATTCCAATTCTTAGCCAAATTTAAAAATTAGAATCATGTCTTTTAAAACTAGTTATTTTTCTTTATTTTTAAAATTGTGGTTTAGACTTGATAAAGTTGAAAGAAAAAGACAATAGAACAAAGAAGCATGTGGAAGGAAATATAGTATCAAACTAGATGCTAAAAATCAAACTTTGAATTCGATCCAAATAAAACATCTTTAAATTATGAAAAATAAATATAAATTTGAGATAGTTTTGTTGCTTGGACCATCTTATTTTATTATTTGCAGTAATTTTGTGCTTTTCGAGTTCTTCTAGATAATTCATTGAAAACATGGAGCACTGAAGAGGAATAGCAGTGCCCCACTCACATTCATTCAACCATTCAGCAATTATTATTATTTATTTAAAATCAATCAGCCAGTCAACGGGTTGACTAAAAATATTGCAAATGACCAATTCCCCACCCAATAAGCTTTGTCTTATGTATTATATATTAAAAAAAGTTAAGTTGAACAATATTTTTAAATGGCAAAACAAGAAATAAACATTTTCTGTTTGGGTAGATATGGAAAATCTTGCCTAAACAATTCAAAGATTTTTTTTTTTAAATAATGAAACAACTATAGACCAAATTTTATTTCTCAAGAAAAAAAAAACTATATAAAAATTTTTGATTGGGTAAAAAATAAGAACAACATTGAATAATCATTTGTGTTGTCGCACTAGAGAAAAGTGAGTGGAAGAAAAATACACTACTTGACTTTATGTAAACTAAATTTGTAGATTAAATACGGTGTACTTAGCTTTGCCTTCTCTGTTCAAAACTTTTACTTTTCTTCGATCCAAAAATTCATAGTCCAACCATATATTATAAAACCGTTCGACTATTATTTGGTTGTTGGATTTATTGAATTTGACTTGTTGTTTGTTGATCTCATATACTACTTAAATTCAATCTCTTGAATGGCAAAAAATATATTTATTTTTACATTCTTTCATCAATCAAATTTAAAGTTATAATATTTGGATAAAAAAAGATATATATTTTTAAAAGATTTTAATATAAACTTTACAAAATAATACATTTTTCTATAAATTTTTAATATTTATTATTATTGATAAATATATTAACTTTCGATCCATTATCATCACTTCATCTCTGGTCATTCATTTGGATTGGATAATACCTTTTAATTTTTATATTTATAAACCAAATTGCAAAATTAGATTCATATTTGGAAATTTTTGTTATTAGAATGACTTAACAATACCTCGAAGATGGTATTATTTAATATTTAAAAACCAAACAGTAAGGTGACTCAAGTGGTTAAATATAAACATCAATTTTGGATGAAATAAAACTCCTGTGCATAGTTGTAAGCCGCTGGTATTTTCTTTTTTCTTTTTTTCTTTTTATAGTTTCAAATGTTTTTTTTTTTCGAAATTCAAATGTTTTTTTAATAATTTGTTAATTCTAAAAATATTTATCAGCAGACATAATCATTCAACTAAAAAAGTGCACTTTATTTTTATTCTTTTAATTTAGAATATATAACACATTATATTATAATTGTGAAGAGCAAGGATATGAATATTTAACCACTTCACACCTTAACTATTGTGCTATAGTATGTAGCATACTTAATGTATTTTTAGAATTATTGTTTAGTTTATTACTTTTTGGAACATATATATGTATATAATTCATAAAAACATGCAATTTTATTTGTATGAAAATGTTAAGCATGCTCGTTTCTGCTGTGTTCATATCATCCTCCAATTATCTAGACCACGCGGTTGAAGCTGCATTAACACATCAACATTAAGTAATATTAATTATAAACCAATAATCAAATTGTCTCTTATATGAAATAAATATGCACCTCACTCCAAGATTTTATAAATATATATTCAAAAAAATAAAGTGGAAACCTATTTTTTCTGTTTATGCAATAATCCTAGATTGGAGCTTGAATCATGATAAATGTCTTACCACTCGACTAGACTATGTTTGGATTGCCTAAAAATTAAGACCAGTTTGAATTGTATATAGAGTATATTTTGTTTTGAGTCTCTAAACGGTAGAAAAGTAGATATTTTGGTTCCTAAAGTACAAAAATATAATTTTTCATTTTCAAATTTAAAAAGTAACTATTTTGTTGTTATTATTTTTCATCTAATGCCTTGCTTATTTCAATACTTGACTCAACTAACTTATATGATTCCACTCCAGGACGTATGCTCAAATAAAACTCGTTAATGTAGATACTCGAAGGTAAAGTTTCATATTATAGATTTAATAAATGACGATACTTCCTTACTAATTGGCCACCATGGGAGCAGAAAAGAGATGAGATGCTTTTTTCTTTATAATTTCTTTTTTAAATAAATGCTGACAACAAATTTAGTGGTGACCGTCGTAATTTCATACTACTCATTATAGTTATTTACTCCCAGCAAAGTTAATGGTATTTTAAGGACTAAATTGAATTATCCTTGAAAGTTTAAAAACTTCAAATAATAATAATAATAATAATAATAATAATAACAATAAAATAAAATACTATTCTAGTCCTTACATTTTTACTCTTACTTTAGTCTCTCTATCATCAATTTTGATTCATTCATTTTAATCTATATTTTTTGAAAAATATTCAGTTTGATACTGTATTTTTTATAATGACTATTTTGATCATTTAATTTTATTTTAAATCTCTTTTTTTTTTCACAATTTCAACACCATAATACACTCAATATATTTCTTCAAAATTTAACCATGTTTTTATATAGTTTCCGTTTGGTGTAAAATTATATTCAATTTGATACTGTATTTTTAAAAGTGACTATTTTGATCATTTAATTTTATTTTAAATCTCATTTTTTTTTCACAATTTCAACACCATAATACACTCAATATATAAAATTTTATAAATAAGGATCAAAATTATCACATTTTAGAATTACATAACCAAAACAAATATTTTTAAAGTTACTAAAGGTAAAAATAAATAACTCAACTGATCCAAAGCCATTAAAAAAAATATTTTAACTCAAGAAAATAAGTATCTTAAAAGTTGAAAACTAAAATCAAATAAATCTAAAAATTTTAAAATTCTTTGATTTAATCGTTTAAAAATATTAAAAAGGAAAATAGTTAGGTCACCATGACAACTATTTAAAAATCGACCGTTATTAATTTATATAAATTTTTTGTTGCGGCCACTTAACCTAAGTATTTTCATGTAAATAAACAACGGATATTAAATATCTGTCACACATCTACATTTCCATTGACATATCCATGTATTAATGAGTTCGACTAACCTCTACATGAAATGTAAATTGACATTTCTATTCTAGTATAAAAATCGATAAAATTATAAAAAAAATATCAACAAAATATCCCTAATAAATAGGATATAAATAATATTAATATGAATATTTTTAACCTATTAAAATAAAAAAGATTTTATTTATTAATTTAGATATATTTTATAATTTTATAATTTTTATAACTTTTCTGAAATATTTTATTGTTTAAAACCTTGATAAAAAGTGGTGTTGTACCTGCTCGAGACAGAGTCCAGTTCTGATCGGCTGCAACCTGCCAAGCGAAGTAACCCAGCAATCCTCTGTTCTTGATGTAAGAAACCTTCGCCGAAATGCTCTGGGTATCGTCATACCCAATCCACGTCGTTCCCGAATTCACATAATTCGAAACAATCGTTCCGTTGTACTTCGGATTTGCTCTGTTCGTCGCTATAAATGTCTTAATCCCCTGATAAGTTATGGCTCCGCCGCTAATTCCCGCTCCGGTGGCGGCTCCGTTGGCCGGAGCGTAGAACCCGTTGTTGTTCGGGTTCACCAGCCGCCACGCCCACCCGTAGAACGGAAAACCCAGCACGATTTTATTCGCGGGAAACCCAGATTGAATCCATGACGTTATGCCGGCGTCGCCGTTGACTTGGCTGGAGGAACCGTACAGAGCGGCCGGCGGCGCCGTGGAGCTCGGCGACCAACCGGGGCCTTAGAAGTCGTAGGACATGACGTTGATCCAGTCCAATTTAGCGGCTAACGACTGAGCGGGAATCGGGACTCCGTAATAGTTGGATGACCGGAAAACTGCGGCGGAGAGAAGCAGGCGAGGCTTGCCGGAGCTTTGGGATTCTGTTTCGATGGCGGCCCGCCACTCGGAGAACAGAGTAGAAAACGACGTCATTTGGTTTGGGGTGGATGGATACTCCCAATCGAGATCGAGGCCGTCGAAATTGTTGGATCTGGCCAGAGAAATTGAGGAATCGATGAAGGATTTGCGGGAATTGGGGTTGCTGGCCATGGAAGCGTAATGGGCTGTGTTGGCGGCGCCTCCGCCGATGGATAAGATGGTTTTGAGGGAGGGATTTTTCCGGCGAACGGTTTGAGTGAAAGTGGAGAATCGGACGGCGTTGGAAGAAGGAATGGTGATTTGGTTTGTGTTGGGATCGAGATCGGCGAATGCGCAGAAGAGATGTGTGAAAAGAGTGGAGTCTATATCGGCCGCCGGAAAATCGGAGCCGGAGAACCAGTAAGCGGTGCGAACTGGGTTGTTCTGGGCGGCGGCGGAGTGGCGTTGGAGAAGAAGTAGGAAGAAGATGGAACAGAGTAATGGGTTGGAAATGGTAATGGAAGCCATTGGAATTGGATTTGGAATGGTGGAAACTGGGAAGTAGTGCGGTTTACAATATGTATGTATTCAAATTTTAAGGTTGAATAATATGTTTTAACCTATTCAACCATACTCTCTAATTGATGAATTTGAATGACGTTTTCAGTGAGATTATAGAACACGAAAATGTAATAATAGAATTAATGATTTGAAAGTATAGAACACGTAAGTATAATAATGGGAGTAGTCTTAATTTATTGATTTGAAAGATCAAAACTATTCTTCCAATTTTTAGGAGATGATTTAGGGACGAAAGTTTGACATACTAGACCAAAATCACTGTTAGTTTGATATATGCTATTCTTCTTTGTTTTTTATAGGTCTGAGGTTCAATCTTTTATCTTTATATTAAAAACAATTAAGGATCCAGTTTGTAAGCATTTTCGAGTGGGTAGAGAAAGTTAAAGAAACTTTTATTTCTTTGTTATTTTCAATTTTTTCTAAAATTTTGTAGACCTATTAAATTGGTGGAGAAGTTTATTATTTACTAATTTTGTATGCCTACGATAAGTGATATAAGTTAAAATTAAAAAGATGAGCCAGTGAATTAGAACTTTTTAAACAATAAAGAATAAATTGAAAAAAATACTTTAATATTAAAAATTTAAAACATTTACTTTTAATTCAAGAAGACGTCGTAAGAATAATATTTAGATGTTTATATCTATTGCTTATCAACTTTTAATTTTTGAAAAATAAGAAATAAGGATGAAGTTATTTTTAACCACCTTGTTAAAAAGAATGATACTGATTAATAAGCAAATCACTTAAATATTGTACTCGATTGTAATAACATCCGTGATTGACTTTTCCATGTCATTAAATCATTTTCATTTTTTTCATTAATGTGCAGTTAAGTTTTAGACCAACCGTAAGAAGATTGAAATGTCATCACTTTCTTTTTTCTTGACAAAGAAAAAGAGAAAAAAAAAAAAAGATTGATTCTCCAAAATAAATAAATACATAAAATGGAGAAATTAAAACACCCAAACTTCTTTGACATACTAATATTAAGGCATCTAACCATCATGGGATGACTCAAGTGGTCAATAAGGGCATTTGTAAATAGTAAAGGAGTTAGAGGGAATGAGTTCAAACCATGGTGGTCACCTACTTAGGATTTTACCAATTGGTTATGATGATGTTCATACAATATGCTCCAAATTTAAGTATTAAACAAGTAATATAAAAGAGTTTATTTTTCAGTACAACGTGTGAGAGTGGAGGATCGAACTCACAACCATGTCAATCACAACGGAGCTATACTCGCTTTAGCTTTTAGAGTTGTTTATAAATGTTCTCCGTAACTTCTCTTATTGTGTCCAAACTTCAAAACGTGTTAATAAATTTCTAACTTTTCAAGTTTATATTTAATTTTATAAAATATCTAATACATAAGAGATTATATATTAGACACAAAATTGAAAGTTCATATTAGATACAACATTGAAAGTTTAGATTCTAAAAAAAAGTTAGAAAGAAAAATTTTAACCATCCATAAAAAAATTTAATTGTCTCGTTTCTTTCTTGGATTAAAGTATATAAGTAACATTCTTATGGATTGAAGGTTAATTCGAATTCATATTCCCACGTTCGTAACATATTCTAAAAAAGAAACTTACATTGTTTCCTAATATTGTTTGGACAAATTCAATTGTTATGTCAACATAAATAATCCAAAACAAACTCTAAATATTAAAATAGAATATCTCTTCTCAATCGTCAACTACCATGTATTATTATGTGAAAAATATTTGGGTATTTACTAGTCAACATCTATATATCTTGCTACTAATAACTACCATCAAATAATTCGACAACTTTCTTTTTTAAAAAAAAAACAGAGAAAATTACATTTTCTATATTTCTAAAATTTTAATGATGATTAGCAAAACATTAGGAAAAAATTAAAACACTTTAGCTTTGAATTTGACATTGAAAGGATATATTTTATATATACAAAAAGCATGGCTAATGTTTCCATAATCGATACATATCCTACTAATCCTTTTTTCACACGTCATCTTGATTTTCTTCCCCACTTCAATCTTTTAATAATTATTCTAAAATCAAAAGGCTTATTGTTTTTTTTTCTTGTTTCTTTTATGTAAAAAAATACTTATTTAGTAATTATTAATTTATACCTATTATAATCTTTTAATAGTTAACTTTCATATTTCATTTAGTAAAAATATAATGTTTTGCCGTAACACATAACCTTGTGTTTTAAACATATGACATATTATTTTCTGAAAAAAAAAAAGTATAATATATATTAAATTTATAAAACAAAAGTGATTTGAAAATTTTAGAGCCTACAATATAACTTAAGAAATTATTGGATATCAATTGAATTTAGAATCAATCTTTTATCATAAATTATGAATTTCAAGCTGCGAAGCAATTATCAATTCAAGCATAGTTCAAAAAGTAAAGTATTTATTACCATCTCAAGGATCGTTAGTAAGTTCATGCTAAATTAAAAGAAAAACGGCAAATAAAGTAGTTAATATCTTCTTACGTTTGTACCATGAGTTTAGTTCAACGATAATAGACACCTGTCTCTAACTAAAAATGAGGTTATGAGTTCGAATCTCACGTCTCTAAAGTATCTATTTACGTCTCGCCCCCACATGTTGTACTAAAAAAAACTTTTCTTTTATAATATATAATAAGAAGCAATCCACGTAGGTTCCCAACTTGTAAAATTTGTTTTATTTTTAATAGAAATACTCTTTCTTTTTTCTTCTTGTTTTTAATTAAAAAACAAAAGAAATAATGATTTCCATCGATTTGGTAAAAGCAGAAATTATCTGATAATAGTAAATTATTTGGTCAAAGATAGGTGCCTTAACCATTTGAACTATGCTCGGTTTGGTGTAAAATGACCCTTATTAATTTAACAATGGAGCAAAAAAATATAAGAACGCTTTAAAGTGATAAAAGAATTATTTATATATACTTTTTTTTTTCTATGTGGCGTTTTAAGATTTATAAAAATCATTAGCATTTTTTGTTCTTTGTTTTTTTGTGTTCTTTTTTGTTTTGTTTTTCTTTTTCCTGCAAAGGAAAAATAATTAGCATTTCCAGGAGGGAAAAGAGTTTGGCTTTTGGTTGTTATATATTTGATTGTTACGAGGGGATAAGCCAGCTGAAAAAAACTTGAAGTAACTAATTAATCTAAAAATATATAACTCATTAATTTAATTAGTTAGTTTGCTATTATATTAATTAATCAACATATCACATGACTTTCTAAGATCTTGTGCAATTGGGTCTTTTAATGCATGCATAAGAGGTACTTTGAAATGACAAATTTTAATTTTAAAGATATTTATTTATTTATTTTTTAGAATTAAAGACATTATTTATTATCATCATGAGAACGCATACACATTGAACTGTATATATAATTTTAAATCAAATTTAAAAACAACGAAAATAAAATTTATTTGCTCCCATTTGATTGACCTTTTTTGTTTGAAAATTATTTTCTAAAAGCGTAGTTTATTTTTAAGTAAAAAATAAATTCCCACTTTAAAACTCTATGGACAAACTCAGCAAAATATATACTCAATCAAAATTTTAAAACTTTTAATTTTTTTTTTTTATACAAGACATAAGGAATTTAAATTTTGGTTAGTTGTTTTAAGACCAACCCTTAAACCCTTTTCCAAATGTTTTTAAGAGAGCAATATTAAAAAGAAACAAAGAGACCCGATATAAAATTAATAACTCATTAACTTATTACTCCTTCTAAATGCGAGTTGAATGATTGAATATTTAACCTTTTTTTTTAATGGAGATTAAACTATGGGAGATAATAGGTATTTTATCCACCAAGCTATACTCAAATTAGCAGTTTGTTTTACTAAAATATAACAAAAACATATTTTTTATAAGAAAGCACATACAGTATCTTACCTTTTGAGTTCAACTACGTGTAGGAGTTGAGATTCGAATCTCTGCTTTTTTTTTCTTGTTCAGTTATGCTTGCCTTAGAGGAATCTCTAATCTTTTGGTCATATATATATATAAATTAGTTGAACTATATTCAAACTGACAAATAATGTCATATACGACGTTTTACACAGTGAAAGTATACTTTTGCAAACCCTCATGGCAGCTTTTGTAAAAATAAAATTCTCACATGTTTTGTTCATAGGATTGATAAAAGTAAAAAATAAAAGGGAACAAGAGCTCATGTTTCATAAATTAATGGGATGATGGGTCAAAGATTGGCAATCTCCTATCACTTTTTACATTGTCTAAGATTGACCTCTCTCTCTCTCTCTCTCTCTCTCTCTCTCTCTATAATTACTTTGATCATATAACCATTTTATCTCTTTTTCTAAAGCAAATTCCTTCTCTCTCTCTCTCCCTCTCTTCTTTCTCAACCAATGCAATTTATATCTTAAATAAAGCAATAGCTTGAATTGGAAAAAGGGAATTAAGCACATGAATGAGGTGCCTAAGTTTCCTAGATTTCCTCAACTTAGATTAAATATGAAACTATATAGTATAAAATTAATGGGTAATGGTAATTTCGATGGTTTAGCTTCTTGCATATGTTATTCATTCTTGGGAATTCATTTATTCCAATGTCTTTTAAGCATCTTTAATTAAATGTTTGCATCTTTTTTCCCCTTTTTTCTTTTTGGTTGGTGCAGCAACTTCCAAGCAGTCTCAGAGCCCCTTTTGACCCTTTCTTTTTTATTTGGACTTTGAAGATTAGCATTTTTAGCCCCACTTTCAATTTCACTCAAAATTACCATTTTTCCCTGCGATTCGGTCGCGCCACCGTCTAATTCTGAACTACTTAGAATAGTGTAGACTATCCTACAGATCAACACGTATCGTTTCAATATGTTTTATCCTCACTCACATGTTTCCTAATGAAGCAACTAGGAGGATATTTATTATACCAATGTTCTTTAGACGGACGTTACAATAACATATGCCTTATTTACTGAATCAAAATTATTTAATATTATTATCTGAAAAAATAGAAGGATATTTATTATACTCTTTTAATTAGCAAAGCAAAGCAAGCAGCCGCCCCTCCCACTGAGGTCTTGTCCTCAGTGTTAAAATCTTTTGGAATTTTAAAAAGAATCAAAATCATTTTCAGGAAAACACCACTTTCTTTTTTCATCTTTAATTATTGCCACTATTTGATGAAATATGTCCTTGGTTTGTAAATCATGAATTAGTCCTTTTTACTGTTTCTAAGATATACTTTTTTCTTTTCCCGGAAATATATGTTTGAAAATTTCATAATATCATACCCTCCAATTTTTATCAATTGTTTCATGAAAAAGTGTGTTTAGTTTAAATTTTACTTTTGCTTGAGAAATGAAGAATACAATCAAATGATATATGAGTTTAGCTAACGTACCTAAAAGAATATATAGATATATCCAAATATTATGTAGTGTACGACGAAGCTTGATTTGTTTACAATGGCGAAATATTATGTTGAAATTGTAAGTCAAATACATCCTATAGGGTTGTGACAAAATTGAAAATTTTAAATCTTGTTCCAATAAAAAGTATTTTAAAGATCCAAACAATGTTAGTTTAGTTGGATTAAGTGAACTATTTATTTGGTTCCTTTTAGATAAATCATATTTAGTCCACGTGCAAAACAATGTTATTTTTATATAATTTTTTTAAAATTAATTTTTTTTAAAGAATATTACGTTATTACAAATATGGAGTAGGGATTTGAACTTATGATCTTTAGAAAAAAGTAAAGGTATCTTATTATTGATTTTTAAATTTATTGTTGTTGGCTTTTATTAAAGTGCTCGTCTCTTTTTAATGAAGTAAAAAATTTTATATAGTAAATGAAATTAATGGTAATATTTTTAGAAATATGTTAAAATTAATAGGGATGAAATGAATTTCATACAAGAAAAATATGGATGAAATATATATGATTTAAGAGATTAATCTACAGGTATACCCAAATTATTAAACTTTACGAAACACAACTTCATCTTCAAATTAAAAAAAAAACTTTTATTACCAATGTTTTTTTTATAACTTAGTTATTTTTCATTTTCATAAAAAAATTATAGTTAATAATAGAAATCTTGTATACGACTACACGAGACTATTTTGGTACATGCTAATTTTTCTAGTACTTTTACATTCTTGCCAGCTTAATTTAAGTGTTTTTTTCCTCGTATAGTTTGGACTTTTTTGTAGGTGTTTGAATTTGCCACTAGATTCAAATAGTTGCATAGATTTAACTTCTCTTATGGTTGGAATTATTCATAAATTAAGTATAAAGGTCAAAAACTGATTTTTTTTTTTTTTTTGTTCTTAAAGAAAGATATATATAAATATACTTGCCATTTGGTAAATAGAAAGAGCAAAAAAGATGAGAGGGGTAAAAGGGTAATTTGGCGAGGACAAGGAAGGGACAAAGTCGAGAATTGACTCAATTCCAAGGCGGGGAAACCAACTGTCTATCTTTTGATAAAACATTGGCTGAGGAAAGCAATATGAGGAATGTCTGACTCTGACATTCTGACTCCTCTCCCTCTCTTTGACCGCATCTCAGCCGTCCATCTCTAATTCCTCCATTTTTTGATTAACCCGCAGCTTAGCCCTCTGTTTTCAATAATCATAAATCATAATCTTCCCCTTCTCATCGTTTCAAAAATGGGTTCCCTTTCATCAATTTGACCCATTTTTCCAAACTCATTTTTGTAATCGAAGTTTCGTAATTTTTGTGAAGTTCCCCAAGCGAAAGCACCCACCTGATTCTGCCTCTGCTTCTGTCTTCGTGTCTCCGTTCTTCTCCAGCATCACTTACAGCTCACCCGTTTTGATCGGATCCATTTTCTGTCATTCATTCGTTTTCTTTCTTCCCCCTCTCCATTTCCCCCCCTTTCCCCTTTTCTATGTTCCCCCTTTTGGTTTTTTTCTCTTTCTTTCTCGCTTCCGTCCTCTTTTCTGTCATCTCATCTCCACTCACTACAAAAACTTCATCAATTTTGGGCCAAACGGTGATTAAATAAGACCCCATTTGCGAATTTGCGATTACATATTTCTCTCCTCGCCAATTTTGGGAAAACCCACCAAACAGAAAGCCCGGGGAAATCTCCGCGCCCTCTTTCTCAGCTTGTTCATGCCTGAACCATTGCGAATTTCATCTCCCAATTTCTATTCTCGACTGATTCTTCCTTAATGGGAAATGTAACCGGCAGCGTGGCTGCCAAGTTTGCCTTCTTCCCGCCGGACCCTCCCACCTACGACGTTTGCAGAGAGGATGACGGCAGGCTCGTCTTCTCCGGCGTCTCCGCCGATAGGAACATGGAGGTTCATTTGCTCGAAACCAAGGCCGGGAATAAGATCGTCGCCACGTTCTGGAAACACCCTTTTGCTAGGTTTACGCTTCTTTATTCCCATGGCAATGCCGCTGACCTTGGTCAGATGCACGAGCTCTTCATCGAACTCAGAGCCCACCTCCGCGTCAACATCATGAGGTACCCATTTTGTAAATTTGTTGTTGCACGCAAAATTTTGTTGGTTAGTTTGAATTTGATTTGGGGTTCTCCTGGATTTTTGTTTTCTTTGATCAGTTTAGATTATGGTCTGATTCTTCTTTATCATTGGTCCAACTATGGTAATTGGTATCTGTTTCATTCTCTTTTCTCCTCCTTTCTGTTTCTGTTCTGGGGTTGGCATTATTTGCAGTGTAGTTTTCTTAATCTCGATTTTGTTTTACCCGTAATTCCCCTGTCATAGTTTTGAATGTCCGCACCATTGTTTCTCTATTGGTGGAAAGATGGAGCTCTGTCTTGGGATATGCTGGAGTTTATCATTGGTTCAGTTTAAAGACTGTGGTACATACACACCATCATTTCATGCCTCTTTCTGTGTTATTAGTTAGATTCCAGCCAAAAAGTTGAAAGAAAAAGTGGCCAAAACCGTCACATCATTGTAGAGAAAGAATTCTGAAATCTAGAAAAGAGACACTATGTTCATTCTGCTTTGGCACAGCGCAAGAACTTGATTGTTCTTTTAGCCCCGTTTTGTTCCAATTCACTGTGGCATATATACTGTTTTCATTTACATAAGAGTTACCAATAACATTTTCTTTTGCTGAATTTCAGCTACGACTATTCGGGATACGGAGCATCGACCGGCAAGGTAAGCAGTTATATTTTGTTTCTTTGATTTAAAGTTTTTCTGAACCATCTTCTGCTGTGACATTGTGGGCTCAAAAGATTTATTAGTGATTTTGAACTTGTTCTGCACACTTTATTTTGGTTGCAACTTGCGTGAAAAGAAAACGATGTTCTGTGGTTTATATGGCCAGCCATCTGGACCGCAATGTCGATAGATAAAGTTGTTAGGTCCCAGGAAACAGCGCATTTGCTTCGATACATCTAACTGGTTCCATTTCATTTATGGATGTTTACTCTTTCCACCACTGATTCATGGTCCATCTTTGATTTTGTTAGCCATCTGAATTCAATACATACCACGACATAGAAGCTGTTTACAATTGTTTGAGGAGTGTATACGGAATCAAGGAAGAAGACATGATTTTGTATGGTCAATCCGTGGGGAGTGGACCGACACTTCACCTGGCGTCTCGACTACAGAGATTAAGAGGTGTTGTTCTCCACAGTGCCATACTTTCGGGCATTCGAGTCTTGTATCCTGTCAAAATGACATTTTGGTTTGACATCTTCAAGGTGAGCTCCACTTGGTTATATGTCCTCTCAATCCTTAATAAATGTTTCGTATCGACAACTCGGTCTCATATATCGATGTCTAATGTTTTCAGAATATAGACAAAATCAGACTGGTCTCGAGTACGGTTTTGGTTATACATGTAAGAAAATTTACCCTTTTTCTTTCTGGATGTGTGTTGATGAGTAACGTATGTCTCCTAATTTGATCAATGGGCAGGGAACAAACGATGATATTGTTGACTGGTCCCATGGAAAACGACTTTGGGAGCTTTCAAAGGAAAAATACGATCCGCTATGGGTTAAGGGCGGGGGACACTGCAACCTCGAAACCTATCCCGAGTACATCAAGCACTTGCGCAAGTTTGTTAATGCAATGGAGAAGCTGTCGCTTAAACAGACGCCGAAACAACTCACTTCTATCCCAAGCATCACAGAAGAGAAACACAACAAATGCTTGAGATTGAGGAAAAAATAGTCAGCTTGTTTGTTTGTTCGTTCATGATTGAAGTAGTAAAGATTCAAAACCAGATAGTTTCATTGCATCCATCCGCTCCACCCATCTTCACAGGGTCGTGAAGTCAGAAATGTTCGACATAATCAAACCGCCCGGTGTGAGCTGAATAGATGAATTTATAGGTTTGCTTCTACAATCCAGATCATATTCTGATTATAACTTCTTGAAACAGAAGGCTCTCTTCAACTTTGTTGTGAAAAAGCTAGCTGTTGTGCCAACAAAATCCAAGGAAATGCAGTTTTTGATCTGGATTTTCACCTCTTAAAAGTTAAAACAGAGCATTATAAATGGTTGCCTCTTATCCCATCATCTTGTTTCACACTTTTTCAATAACATTAATTCTAGTGTAGAATTGTTCCTTCTCTTCTCTATTCTGTATATCTTTTTTGGTTTCCCCCCCCTTATGTTGGGTATTTAGTAGAACATAATGTATTCCTCTAATGTATAAGTCTTCTCCCCCAACAAATTATGTGTTCTCCTTGATTCTCATTATATATTTGATCAAAGTAATATATAATTTTTGAGAATTGAACTGTTTGAATTTGTCGAAACAAAACTAATGGGAGCATTTGGTTGGTAATACAAGAATAGAAGTTTAACGAAAAATTATTTAGAATATGTGTTTGGTCTCGATTTTGAAAATACTGAAAGCAGTTATATTCATATTTTAAAAATTTCAACTGCTTACGAGTCATAGCATCAAAATAATGTAACCTATATGATAAGAAAACTAATGAAGTTTATTAGTATAACAGCAAAGGTTGATCAATTAAGAAAATTTTATCCTCTTACTTAAAAAGTTATTCTTCTCTATAAACTGGTTGGATTGATTTACGGAAACGCCCTCGGTGGATTACTCTCAGTAAATGGGGCCCATATCCATTGGATTGAAGGCGGGTTAGGCCCATTAAGTGATTCAGAAATGGGCTTTTTGGGCCCGTTTCAACAGAGTGGAAGCGCAGATCCTTATCCTTATCCTTCTATTTGGAGTCTTTTTTATTATTATTATCGAAATTAAATTTTTTTTTTTTTTAAAACAGCTTTTATTTGGGGTTGTGGGGAAAGTAGCAGAGGCAGAGGGCAGAGGCAGCTTTATTTATTTATATATAAATAATAAATACAAAATAATATTTTATATATGGGGTGGAAAGTTTTGTCTTATTGGTGGAAGTTGGAAGCCGAAATAAGGGTGCAATAGAATATGAGTTGAATAATAGACCCCATATTTTATCCATTTTCAGCACCAGTCCGTGGGCCCCGCTATTATTACAAAACTATATGAATTATTATAATTGAATACCTTTTTACTTTTTCATTTTATAAATGGCTCAAATAATATGGCCAGAGGATATCCTCGTTTCTAGTTTTTATTCCTTCATTTCTAATAAAAAAGAAAATGGAATTGTATGACTCGTAGATTCAAAAAAATAATAAACAAAATTTTTATTTACGTAGAAACAAATTGAAAATGAAAACTAAAAAGAACAAACTTTGTTTTCGATGTTTCCAAAATTTCTATATGATTTTGAGAATGTTTATAAAAAAAAATAGAAAAAAATTACATAAATGATGGTTAAAAATTTAGATTTCTTAATAAAATCGAAAACGAAAAATAAAAAGTTGGAAAGTTACCAAACGGTCCTTAGATCTTGAATGAAAACTTTAAATTAGTTGAACTTTATTGGTTGAGCTATCCTAATGGAATGTTCGAACAATTGATCTCACTTTATTGCAAATGAGGAATACGTTCTTGAAAAGTAATGACTTAATTGAAATTATATATTTTGTTTCCAAATTTATTTGATGATAGATTTGAATATCTGTTTGACATTTTTATTTTTAGTGAAAATTTTAAAAATAATATTTATATGTTTACAGTGTTTTCAGTTTTTAAATTCGAAATTTTCAAATGCAGAATTACATAAATATATATTATTTCATATTATAATTTTTTTAATTACAACATGTAAAATATAATATATTATAAATTAGGAGCAGTTACAAATATGGCAAAAAAATTTAAGGAAATAACAAATTTAGTATCTATATTTTAGATTTGAAAATATAGCAAAATTTTTTGAAAAAACGGAGGTCCAATTATAAAATGTCAAAATTTACCTTCGTAGCATTGATATACCATTGATATAGTACTGATATATATATATATATATATATATATATATATATATATATATATATATATATATATATATACACACACATCTGATTTACTATTGATATACTATGATATCTACTACTAATATATGTGTAAATTAGAGGTACATTAGATGTATATTAGATGTATAGTACGTACATCCGATGTATATCAGAGATAGATCTGATGTATATTAGATGTACATCGGAAGTATATTAGAGATATATTAGACCTATATCAGATATACATTCATCAGACGTATATCAGATATACATCGGAAGTATATCAGAGATTCAATTTATAAATCTATTGCCAAACATATATCTAAAAACATAAAATATGAAATCCGACTTTACTTCCCATTAAATTCTTTGTTTTCAGATTCCAAGTTTTTAAAATTACCCACCAAAATATATATATACCCTCCATGTTTTCTTTTAACCTTTTGATCAACATTCTAAAACCACGACAACACAAATGAGAGTTTTTCTTAAAAAATACTCAAAACTTCATTTTTTTGCCAATCTCTAATTGCATTGTAGCGGTAGTGTTAAGATACCTTTTCTCTCTCAAAAGATGGAAGGTTTAAATTCCCACCCTAACGTATTATTTTTCTTACTTGATACCATTTTTCTTTCTTCTCCAAGTTAGGCTCTCCATCACGATTCTAAGTATCTATACCTCGATTCCGATAGATTAGTATATATTCAATCCGTCATATATGTTTTGTTAACCACAAGTTTTCAAGATCATGGCGGCCTAAGATCTTTGGAGAAAATAAATAATATGGACAGCTAATATATAGTTTACTAAAAAGGGAACCGAGTTAGTTTGGTCCACAAGTATAGGAAAAAAAATGGTCCGATCCAGGGTGTGTGTGGCAAATGTGTCACGAGTAAAGGAATAATAATTATAAAAATAAAAATATTGTTGCTTATTTTGTTGAAAATGTCAAACCATTTAATTTATTGGTTGTACTTATAATTAGCTGGCCTCAAACTTATTATATTCCCCCTTTTCTCCAACACTTGCCATTATTTCATCATTCTTCTCTCCATGTGTTAACATATGATATTATTTCTTTATTTTATTACCCTCTCTTTCTCATTATACATTACCTTATAATTAATATTGCAATCAAAAAGTTGTATATGGTTATTATATAAGTAAGTTCACGTCATGGGGTTACTTTAGTTTAATTAATTTAATTTGTTGGGTTCATATAGTCAAAGACTTCTCCTCAACTTGTGAGATGCATCATTAAGATAATCTTTATAAGCTAGCTCAAGCAATTAACAAAGTTCTCTCTTTTTCTCTACTTTTAAAAAATATATATGACTTCATAGTTTTGATGGTGTGTTTTTCTTAAAAAAGAATCCAGTGTTAATTAATTTAAATTAGTTTGGTCTATTTATATATTATTTTAGTTTTTGAAGTATCCATCTTGTCAAGTATCCTACGTGTAAAAATATTAATTAGGAGACCTGCTCATCTCGTAACCAATTAATTTTGAAACGAAACTCTGTGAATATTGATATAGTATCAAAGTCCAACGAACTGAAACAAGTATGCAATTAAAAAACGGATCCCACGTGGGAAGCTAATTGGTTTTTATCTCATTTCTTTTGATCATAATTTTAGCATTACAGTTTACTCACTAATTTTTTTGAAACGTGACCATAAATTTTGTATTAAAAAATTTTCATTGTGTATAAAATTTTGTTATAATATTGTAAATAGGGACCAAATTAACTGCTTTTTAAACTTACAATGACCAGAACATATATTTTAAAAATATAGAACCCAAAAGTTGAATGGAAGCTAACAGTATATTAAACCTTATTTTAATAAGTGATGAACAAGTTGTTTTGTTTGGTCTCTTGTAGAGAAACTAGGAGCCAATACTATTTAGTGATTAGTTGATTTGGACAAATAAAAAGTATAGTTTAAGTGGTGCAAGTAGATGAGTGTGTGATTGAAATTTAAGTGCAAATTGTGAGACATGATTGGATATATGTTCCCATGATGAACTTGGCTACATAGCAATAAAATATATTCACATCTTATTATCTAAATTTATTTGTCACTTTTTCTTTGTTTTCCAACTTTGTTGTTGTATTTTATTATAATATAGATATATATTTGTTTGTGTAATGATTAATTCAACTCAAATTATAAAAAAAAATATCAATTCAATTGATTAAGATATAAAATATAATTTTTTACCTATGAGATGGATTCAAATCCACTTCATGAACTAAAAAAATAAAGATATTCAACTCAATTAATTCTTCAAAATGTCTTATCTATCCACTATGTTGGATGAGTTCCTATTCTGACAAAATTTAAACTTCAAAATTGATACATTTGGCAAAAAATTAATTGTAATTTGTAAAATTGATTTTTTTTTCCTTTTAATGTCAATTATCACAAAAAGGCTGCATTTGTTTCTGGGTCTAGCATAAAATTGAGGGACCCACGTGGAATTAACGAGAGCCAATAGAATCACGAAACGTGGCAGTAGCTGCAGACCTGGAGGAGGATGTGTCCCATTTTATAGGTTTCTTGCTTTAGTTATAAACAAACTCATTTACTGCACATACCCTTTTTCTTTATAAGGAATACTCCGGCGCGTGATTCACACGCTCCCGCCATTTTCCTTGGTAAGTTTGTGAAAATTAAATTCTCAAAACGTTCAAGATTTTGAAATCATTTAATCACAAATTAATGTAACTGCTAATGCAAAAAAGGAATGCAATTTTATTATTTTTTATATTCTATTATTAGTCATATCTATTATTTTTTTTTTACAACAACGAAGGAATTCGAATTCATGACTTTAGTCCGAGACCCAATTATCGAACTATGCTCATGTTAGTTATTATTATTATCTTTTGAATCAAGAACAAAATTTCATTAAAATATAAAATTGTATAAGATGTAGCCATCTCAATTATTATCGAAAGACAATCCTATAATTTCTTGTATTTTTTTAACTATAAATATAATCTCAGTATCCTCACAATTATAAAAGTGTACATTATTTATATTGTTATCAATTTTGCAAGGGAACAAAATTTCTTATTGCATAATTGCTTGGAGAAATAAATTCTCTATCCTATGTATATATGTATATAAACTTTAAAGGAGCAAAATTTTATAAGGAACTTGAATTTCATTAGTAGGTCCATAACAAATGTAATAGAGATTTATACCCTTGTAATTCTGACTTTTTATCAAATTATTAAATTATGTTCAGATTAGACGTTAATTTGATTATTAAAACTTCGAAATTCATATTTTTCACATGGGAAAGACAATAATTTTTTTAACATTTTGTTATAATTTGATTTGACAGTGAAT